ATGCATTTCTGACTTAACAACAAATCGGTCCTTAGCTGACAGAGCATGTTATAATCTAGGAGAGAAACTGCCCAGTGCTAGTCGATAATTTCATGCTAGAATTGAAAAACAACACTTTTTTACCACTAACTTTACTCATCATTCTTACCATTCATTGCTCAGTTTTCCAAGGCACATATTTAGGGTGAGGGAACACTTCTTTTCAATAAATGTATATACTGATTGGAGATTTGCATAGGTATGACCAAAGGCTATGCTTCCAATAAAATAATGACAAATAAGAAGGAAAAGTTCATACACCACACATACCATATACCAAATGTGAATCCCTGCTGGGAGCACTGCGCTGTAGGTCACTATGACCAGGACTAACTTGCCACCTCCCGCGGATGAGGCAGGGGAGGCAGTGCCCTGTGGGAGGAAAATAGGTGACAAGAAGGCCTGGTGAAGCAAGGCCGAAGATTCCTCCCCTCCCCCAAAATTCACCAGAAAACCATCAAGCATGATGTCCTGCAGACCTTAGCTATTCTCCTGGCTCAGGTTGCAGACCAGCCCCTTTCACCTTCCCCTGCAATTTCCTTATCTCTACCACTATAAATAAACAAGCTGCATTTGCCTGGGGTCTTTTTCTGCCATCAGGAGTTAGAGCCCCTCTTGGCCCCATCTTTGTTTCTCTTTGTTCTTTTGTAACTTTCTTTTCTTTACCTTTTCTTAATCTCCCAGGGTTATTTCTCACTTCGTGGACCCTTCAACCAAGTGGACTGTAGCAAATCCCAAAGTAATAGTCAAAAGAGGAGCAGAGAGAGAGAGAGAGAGAGAGAGAGAATGAATCATGGTTTAGATCTAGACTGTCTCCCAAAATTCTCAGGTACTCAGAGGTGAAGCTTTTGAAAGGTGTTTGGATTGTGGGAATCCTGTACTCATCAGTGGATTCATCCACTAATAAGTTTAGTAGCCAGGTATACTGTTAGGAGATGAAGCCTGGTTAGACACAGGTCACACCGGGCATGTATCTCCCTCCTTGCCTTTGTACTTCTATTTCTGCCTATTGGCTGTCATGATGTGAGCAGCTTTTCTCTGCTATGCCCCTTTCCCATGTGGTCTCTGCTGTGGTGTGAGGCAACTGTGGACTGAACTGTGAGCCAAAATAGTCCCCTTCTCCTTTAAGTTGTGGGTGTTGGCTACTAGGTCTCAGTGAAGAGACAGTGACAGACAGTGTGAGAGAGCTACAGCAAAACAGAGAGAGAGAGGGAGACAGAAAGACAGAGAAGCAGATATATGAAGCTCACTACAAGCTTCCATTACAGCAAGTAAGACAGTGTTACAGATAAACTTATTCAAAACCAAACCCAAAGCAGTCACAATTTTAAGAATACTACAAAGAATTTTTTTCAACTTTTTATTGTGGTAAAATTTATAAGACATTCAATTTACTGTTGTAAGAAATTTAAGTCCATGCATAGTTCAGTGATATTTACTACATTTTTACTGTTAGTAGCCAAAATCAGCAACTAATTGCAGAACTTTTTTTTGCAAAACTACAACTATACTCATTCAATAATAACTCTCCATTCTTCACTTCCTCAAGCCCTCCAAACCATGTTTTACTTTCAGTCTCTGATTTTGGTTAATCTAGGCACACTATGTGCCTGAAATCATAGTATTTGTCTTTTGATGACTGGCTTATTTCTTAGCATAATATCTCCAATGTCAATCTGTGAATGTTGTAAAATATGTCAGATTTTATTTCCTTTTTAAGTCTGAATGAGATGCCATTTCTACAGGTGCTGCATTTTGTTCATCCATTCATCCATTAATAAAGAACTGAAATGCTCCCATGTTGTAGAAGTTATAAATAAATCTGCTGTGATCTTGGATATACAAATTATCTTCTTTAAAACTTGCCCTCATTTTTGAGAGTATATGCTGGAATGTGGAAGATCTGGAGTATAAGGTAAATCCATTTTTCATGTTTTGAGAAAGCAATATATTGTTTTTCCTAGCATCTGCACAATTTCCATTCTGACTAATTGTGTTCAAGGCTTCCAGTGTATCCAGATCCTTGCCAGCAGCTGTAATGCTATTCTTTTTGACAGAAGTCATCACAATGGATATGAAATGACCTATCATCATGGTTCTGATTTACATTTCCGTAATGATTGCTAATGTTGAATACTGTTTTTATGCTTTGTGGCCATTCACATATCTTACGTGTAGAATATCAATTCAAGTTCATGAGTCATTTTTAAATCAAGTTCTCTGTTCTTTTATTGTTGAGATTTAGGAATTTCCTATGTATTCTGGATATAATCCCTTATCAGAGACTACAAGATTTTCAAATATTTACCCCTAACTTTAAATTGCCTTTTCACTGATAGTAACGTTCTTTAGCACACAAACATTGTTTTTATTTTCAAGAAATCCAGTTTGCAATTTTTCCCTTTGATAACCTGAGCCTTATTATTATATATGAGATTGACAAATTAGTATCATGAAGATTTTACCATGCATTTTTTTCTAAGAGCTTTATAATTTTAGGTATGATGTATGGGTCTTTGATCTCTTTCAGTTAATTCTTTCAAAACCTATAGTAATTTTGTAAAGTAGTAGATAAAAACAAGACTTTGTTCTCTTGTATATGGATGTCCAGTTTTTCTGGCACAATTTTTTGCAAAGACTGCCTCTTATTGTCTTTGGTACCGTTGTCAAAACTCTTTTTACAATATATGTCAGAGTTATTTCTGGGCTCTCTATTCCACTCCAGTGGTTTATAGTACTGTATTTGTGCCACAACCACACTGTTTTTATTGTTGTAGCTTTGTAGCAAGTTTTGAAATAAGTAATGTGAATACTTAACTTTGTTCTTTGTATTTGAGATTGATTGGGCTATCCTATACGCATTTCAGGATGGAATTTTATATTTCTGCAAATTTGTTGGCATTTTGATAGAGACTTCAATCGGTAGACATTGGAGTATACTATCAGCATCTTTACCGTTTTACCATCCATGAACATGTGATGTCTTGCCATTAATTTAAGAGTAGTTAAAAATTTTTTAGCAAAGATTTTTCTCAGTGTACGATTTCTATACCACTTTGGTACAACATTAAACTCTTTGGTCGAGTTAATTCCTAAGTATTTTATTCACTTCATTGTTACTATAATTTGGGTTGTTTACTTTATTTCCTATACAGATTGTTTAATGCTAGTTTACAGAAATGTGTTTGATTGTATTGTGCAGAGTTTGTACCTTAATATTTTGCTATATTTACTAGTTCTAGCAATGTGTATGTGTGTGATGTTTATGTTTTTCTACATTTATATGATCCACAGGAAAAAAATTTACATATTTTTCAATTTGGACACCTTTTTTTCTTGCTTAATTACTCTGTCTGGGACTCATGGATCTTTTAAAATAGACTTGAAAAGAGTGGGAATACTTGCCTGGACATCCAAAATTTCAGCAAGACAGAATGAATAAGTTCAAACATCTGTTTATTATACAATGCAGTGACTATAGTTAATAATAATGTTTATTTGAAAATTGTTAGGAAAGTAGAATGTTCTCAGTGAAAAGGGATCAGTATGCAATGTGATGGATATGCTAATTACCTTCATTATGTTTTCACCATGTTCACATTACTAATAGATCTTGCTGTACACAGTAAATATATATAATCTATAAATATATATACTTCTGTCAATTACACATTCATAAAACTAGGAAAAGGAAAAAGTAATCTATTGTTTGTAAATTTTTGCATGTTTGAGAAGATGAAAGAAAGGAATATTTTAAAAGCAATTCTTATTTTCCACCACCACAACCTTTCCTCATGTGTCTGGTCATGCTACCCTTTCTTCTTTCAATTCCTCTCAGCTAAAATATTGTACTGTGCATTTTGATCAACCCCAATGGGATGCCATTGTAACACATTTTCTGTTTGTCTCCATATTTTTAACTTCAAGGGTGGTAAATAATATGTGAGCTGTAATGAGTAAAAAAATGGTGTACTAAAGTGTTATGTGGATTCAAAAATAAATTTTCTCTAGTTATTAAGGACTAATATGAATTATGCATCCATCATTTGTTAATAATAAACATGTAAATAAATTTTCTCTAATAGTACTAAAAATAATTTTTCTTTTGAGCTTGTGGTAGTTAAACTTGATTGTTAATTTAACTGGATTTAGAGACTTCTAAAGAGATGATTAGATCATGGATCAAATATTCTCATCAGTAGATTGATCTATTGATGATCCTCAGGATGTTAGAGGACAAGATGGAAGTGGATCAATGGGAACATGTTTTGGAGTATATATGTCTCTGTTCCTTTTGCTCTGCTTCCCTGGTCACCACAAAGTGACTTGCTTTGCTCTGCACACCCTATCTCCAAGATGTATGCCTTGGAGCCAATTGATCATGTACTGAAATTTCTGAAAGTGTGAACCAAAATATGCCTCTTTGCCTTTAAGAGGTGGGTGTTGGATATTTTTTCCCAGTTATAAGAAAGCTGACACAGAGCCCTTATTTATATGCTAAGCAAATTAGGATCCTACTTGCAATATTAAAACACTTTGGGGAGAAGTAATCTCCAAGTTAAAGGCTAAGTTTTGCAAATGAAGAAAGGACCCCAGAACACTAGCTACCTTGGGGACTATGCAACTTGCATGTGTTCTAGAATTTATATTTTATTTTCTTCTGGTTTTCTGTACTCTGAAGAGGCTCCTGCTGGAAGTAAGCAGGATGTTTTCAGCCTGTAGGACTGAACATTCTGGAGGAGAATGAAAGAGTAAAAAAGTACTCTTTTTTATTGTTGAAATTTTAGTGTGGGTGTTGGAGAGTTCCCACAGATATTCTCCGATGGTTTTTCCATGAGCAACTGAGTGTCTGCAGTCTCTGAACATTATTTTAAAATGTTAAGGTCTTTACTGTGACATATAAAAATCTCTGGCCTTGAAAATATATACTTCATGCCTACATTCAGAAAATAAGTACTTACAAAGAAATACGAGCTGAAAGAATTTCATTGAAGACTCTCCAACTTGAAACCCACTTAGCTGAAATCTTCCTATAATAAACAAGAAAAGGCAAAAATTTATTGAACATTAAATGAATTCACTAATTTTTGTGAGACTGACAAGATATGTCTTGCCTTATTTTATCCATTCCTATCATGGCAGGCTGGCAGGTTGATGTAAAGGGCATAATGTGTTGTGTAACTTTTTTTTTTTTTGAGATAGAGGCTCTTTATGTAGACCAGGTTGGTCTTGAACTCACTATATAACCCACATTTGTCAATCAAACTTGTGATTCTCCTGCCTCAGCCACCCAAGTGCTGAGATTAGAGGTGTGCACCACTATATACATGGCTAACAGTTTATTTTTAAAGTATAAATCAATCTTTATCCTACTATATCAGCGGTGGTGAATCTATGGCACACATGGTGCAGTGGACACACAGAACCCTCTGTCAGCATGTGAGCCAAGCCTCCCTGGCCAAAGTTTGACAAAGTATCAGCATGAGTACAACAGCAAAGAGGACATTAGTTGTGCAAAAGCACCCCAAATGCAAACTTTTACCTTTCAATAAAGAACTGCTTGTATCATCAAAAGCTCTGTTACTATGTTTTTCTTTTAAGACAAATGATGTTAATGTAGGAGTTGTTTTTTTTCTAAATTAAAACCTCAGTATTCAGGTTTAATTGCAGTGTTGACACTTTGTAGTAAGTGGATTTTGGATTCTAGTTTAGGCACTTGATCTCAAAAAGGTTTGCCATCTCTGTACTATAAACACATAGGCTGGCATTTCCCCTGAAAAGGTAGTGTGTAAAATGCCATTTCAGGACATGCTGTGTAAAAACTAGGTGGACAGAGATAGGAAAAGCCTGGCCTTGATAGGTTAAGGAAGAAAGAAGAACAATGAGAACTTGCATTTCAATCTTTGGCCAGGCCAAGGTTCCTACTGGAAGAAATTCATTGGATAGCTTGAGTAGAGTACTGCTTTACATTCCAATGGGTTCACTTCTCAAGAAAGTTAATGGGTATGAAGCTATTGACAATCAAGTTGTCTAGATGAAATAGTAAGAACACAGAGACACGGGAGCAAAGGCTGAAAATGCACTGACTGGGCCAGAGAGTAAATGACAAGCAGGTTTGGCAAAATGTACAAATCTAGGAAAAGAGTGCTGGATATAAGTCAGTAGGAAGGACCCCTAAATCCCGACTGAAAAGGAAGACTATGAAGGAAAAAGCAAAAGAAGAGAGGTAGGCTACAGACTTCAACAGGAATGAAATTTGGCAGACAGATAAGTAATACTGATGCCTGAGATGCCAAAGAGAAAACACCTGACAACTTTCATAATTATATCAAATTCTATCTGACATTCCACCTCTGCTGCAAGAACCACATAAGTTCCTCAACTGCCCAGATGCTATATACAGAGGAAGGAAGGATAATAGCAGATGGAGTACTTAAAAAGACCACTATGCAGAGAAATGGCCTCCAGAAAATAAACTGTATATTTTTTGATAGTGTTAAGGGATGCACTGCTCGGTGATTGGTGCATGCCTTATTATGAAAAAATTACTTCAGTTATAGGAAATATTATTTGAAACATCTCTTTGCATATCTGAATAGCATTTTGTCAGAGAGACTTTTGACTCAGTAATGTCTAGCCAGGTTTTGTTTTCATATTTCTATAGAAATATCTCTTTTCCATACAATGCAGAAGTTAAAATTGTTTATATTGTAAGTACAAAAAAAACCTAAATATTAGTATTAATTTATATTTTATAAGTAGTATTAAAATAGTCATCATTTCTATTATATTATTATTCTTATTATAGGAGAAAAGTATTGATCCAAAATATTGTAACTGGGAACTTATTTGTATCAAACAACATAGATAAACACTCTTAAAAAATTAACATTGTTAAAATACTTCCAAATAAAAAGATTTTTTTCTACCCAAAGATGAATTGAATTATTGAACTGGAAAAATGTTTTTAACAAATTTTAATTTCTGGACTTTATTTAGCATATATATATAATATATATATAATTTTAAGTGTGTGGTAAACTATATATACTCAGTTCATAAACTTATTTTATACTTGCATGAATTGAACTATTCAACTGGAAAAATGGTTTTAGCAAACTTTAATTTCTGGTCTTTATTTAACATACATACATGTTTTAGTCAATGCTTACCAGAGTCAGATGTTTGTGGAGAACAGATTTAAAATAGGACACAAAAATTTATAGGATTATCTTATAATATTTACCAAAAAAGTCAAATCCAGAAGAGTGAGAGAGCTCTGTCTGTGTTCTAGAGACCCGAGGAATCCAGCCGGCAGCCAGGATCCCACTGCAATGTCCTCCACCAGTCCAGTTGGAGCCCTAGTGCTCACGGTAATGGCCCTTCCAAGCCTGTATCAAAGATCTGCACCCAAAAGGCTCAAAGCCCAGTGGTGGGGAGGGTTAAGGATCTGTGCCAGAAGGCTAAGGGACCTGCACTGGAGCCAGGAAGGACGCTCAAGACAAAGGAGAAAACCAGAGCTTCCCCAGAACAGCAGCGCCCCGCCCCCACGACAGCAAGGACCTGAGCTCTTCTGATGGGAAAAGCCAACTTCACGTCAGGAAAATCAGCCACAGCAAAGCTTCTCCTGAGAAATCAGCAGCACCCAATCTTCCTTCTATTAATAATAATTTATTATTTATCATGTCTGTTAGTCCTGTTCTCTCAATTAGATATTTTACACATCTGATTAGCATTGGAATATTATATAATAATACATTATGAGGATACGCTCACTAATTTATTGCTTTGAGGTTGACTGAGGTTGTTTAGTCTCAAACATGAGTGTTCAAGCAGGTACTGAAAGAAGCTCGTTGACAAAATCTATGTAAAAGGTCAGAGGCAGCCACACAGACTGGTTGAAAGTAAGGAAGGATTGAATCTAAGTTTGATGAATTCCTTGTAACACACATTGTTGTAGGTAGTCAAGTGGGAATAAAGAACTAAAATTGATGTTTTAAAGAATATCTGAGATTTCACAAGAAAAGTGAAATCTGTTTCTCTAAAAAGCAGCCAAATTTGATTGTATAATAAAATGATTTTTAGAAGTGAAATCCAAAATCTCTAGGCTCATGTGATAACTCCAGTTCAACATAGACTCTATCATTTGCTATTTTAATATTGTCTTATTTGTATACATATTTTGCTTTCTAAGCCACAATAAGTATTGACATTTTTTGTTCCTAGTTGCAGAAGTTTTCATAGGTCTATAGATGATAAAACATAAAACAAAATTATTGACAAGATATCTTGTCTCTTTTGTTTGGAGGCATAGCTAAACTAACTACAGAGAATGACATGTGGAATGTAGCACAGCCTCATGTCTTCCTGAAGAACCAATGTAACACTTACTTTTCCATTCTAAATTCTTTCATAAAAAACCTGTTGTAACTTCTATTTTTGACAATGACACCGATGTGCTTTCTCACAGAACTGACTTCATTTAGCAGTGAGAAAACACTACAAAAATATACTTTTCTTACAGTATGTAGCATCATATGGTCTAATAAATCCTATCTACCCTAAGGTTTGAAGCCAGAAATCTCATTTCAGCTCTTAATAAAAATGACACCTGAATTATGAGAATGAACCTTTAGAGAAATTAATATTATAATCAATTTTTTAAATCATTGAATATGAGTAAGTGAAATTACTGGATTATGACAACTGTATTTTAAATAAGAATATACTTTCATAAAGTCATAAATAGATCATGTCAATGTTGGACTTCAGCCTGACATCTTTGGATTGTTATCTTGAATGTTCTTACACGAATATTTTGCAAAACTCTAATGCTGCTACAGGTAGATTTATAATATCTGTAAATACATAAAACTGTGGTTGTATCTTCTTATTTTTGCCAGTCTGAGCTCTGAAACAAGACTCTCTGCAGTTGAATCTCATTTAATTAAATTTATGACTTTGATAGTTCCTTACTCATTCTGTACCTCAGTTCCCTTATCTATAAAATAGGAACAATGATAGGCTTCATCTTATAGAGTTTCTATGAAAATTAGATAAGTTAATAAATTAAAAGAATACAGAATATTGCCTAATACATAAGAAGTACTCAGTGAATATTCTGTATTATTATAAAAATAGACTCATGAAATAAAAACATTTGTTTTACTGACCACACAGTTTACAGAAATGCTGTAGATATATTTTAATACCAATCAACAAATCATGATACCTGTATCAATTATTCCTATCACATACCTCTGGGAACCTCAATGCCTCAAGCCAACCTAATACAGATTCCTGCCCAGTATCCATATAGCAACTCCTGATGAAACACAGGAGATAGAATATTAAGACCAACTCAGCTATGCCTTTCCAAAGAGTTGGAAGCTGTTTTATCACTAAGTTAGGGTGTCAGTCTGTCACTTACTCAAGTCAAAATGTCAATCCTTGTTCAAAAACTAGCTACACAGTATTGTAATATGTGGTTAGCTTGAAAGAATATAACCACTTTCAAATAATTTATTATCCAATTTTAATTTATTTAAAACTGAGTCAAGAAATGATTTAATTACTCTCACAAGAAATACTATCAAGGAATGTAAATAACGTCAAATGAAGTATACTGAAAAGTAGAGAGATTTTGAACAATGAATTGTTGTGCAGAATTTTGTCTTATTCAATCATTCATAATATATCACTAAAAAGTATACTTTTTCATGAAGTACTTCCAAATAGAAAGATTTTTTTCTACCCAAATAGATAAGTAGAACTGGAAAAAAATGATGTTAAGTGAAATAAGACAGACACAGAAAGACAAATATTGCTTGTTTTCATTTATTTGTGGGAGCTAAAAAGTTCACCAGTCACACAGAAGTAGGGAGTGCGATGGAGTTCACTCAGGTTTATGAAGGGAGGAGGACAGGGAATAGGAAGAGAGTGGATAATGGGCACCAAAACCCTGGTGTGAGGGGGAAATAATTCTAGTGTTGTATAGCACGGTAGGGTAACTATAGACTACAGCATTTAATTACACATTTCTAAATAACTGAAGAAGACTGAACATACAGAAATGATAATATTTGAAGAATTGTAAGTGATAACTATCCAGATATTATCATTGCATGTGTTTTACAAGTGGCAAATTACTATACCCCACAAATAACTACAAATATATGTCAACTAAATTTTTTTTTTTGGTATCGAGGATCAAACTCAGGACCTTGCGTTTGTAAGGCAAGTGGCTGGTGGAACCTCTGAGCTAAATCCCCAGCCCAACTAAAAATTTTTTTAAAAGAGGAGAGACCACTGACTAGCTTATCAATATGTCTTTTGATTTATTTTAAACACAATGGAAATACCTTATTGTTTTAGGTGTATGTATCACTACATCTAAGAGATTGTCTCTGCCAAAAAAACACTTCATAGTTTTAGAAGCTAGAAAATTTGATCAGAATTCATTCTGCCTAAAAGTGAAATAAATTAGATTAAAATGTGATTGATCAAAAACAGTGAATTTTTCTAGGTAGAGACAAGGGTAGACCCAAAATCTAGTGTCTATTAAATTTAATATTTCCACTCACACTTCAAATATGTTTTGCAAAATGTAATTTTGAAAAAAATTAAGCTTTCAATATTGCTCTCTTCCAAAATTGGTACTCGGTGATTAACAGAAAGTTGACCTCTGCTATCAAGACATATAACATTTGGATAAGGAGCTCCCCAAAGGTTTAGAGAATGACAATGCACAGTGTTTCAAGATAAAACAGGAAAATAACCTCCCTTTGGGATATGAATAAGGAAACTAAAATACATATTATACTTTACATTGAAAGCTGTATATTTTTTAAAGAAAATCTAGTTTGCACTGGTAATTGTGTAAAGCAGATTAGTTTTTGGAAGAAGCTAAAAAGGGTAACCCAGCATTACCTACAATGGAACTTTTACTTTTGAAGCATTGCCTCTAGCCATTTTAGAAACAGTGTGAAAATTTTGGCTTAATATTTTAAGAATATCAATACTTTGGATAATGAACAGATATATTACCAGATACAGCAGCTTTTATCAGTCAACACTTTTATCAAGTGTTATCCTCAAAAACACTTTGTTTTATATTGACAAGACATTATTATTCCTATTTTTTATATTTTAAAAAGTTTTACATATCTTTCTTAATCTGATATAATTATTTAAAAATCAGTGGGGATTATACACAGTATTTAGATATATTTTTATTAACACTAGAAATCCCTTCATAGACCACTATTCATTAACTAAATTCATGAAAATTTATCTTGCATTATTCTTTTTTCAACTGTTCGAATTAATCCAAGTATAAAACACATAAAATCAAAAGGTCTTAACATTCCACATATTTTATTCATATCTTGTTTAAAGTTTATGTAGTTAAAAAAGAAAAATATTTGATTGTTTTATATAATATCTGAGATTCTTGAGACATAACTCTTTTACATTATTTTAATGACCTTCATTATATCAAAGATATACTTTTAGAATCTGACAATCATCTAACCAAAGAAGGCCTTAACTCTTTATATCATCCAAGACTGAAAAACTTAATGATGTATCCAAGTCATACTGCTAAGAGTTGCATAGATAAAATTTAAAATCCAAGTTTTTCAGACTGCAACATCTACATTCCTTGTAATGCACTACTAACTTCAAAATTAGAAATTGCCTTTGCTAATGATCGGCTTTTGTTAATTGCTGAGAACAAAATCTCCAATTGGCTATGTTATGTTAAATTCCACTAGTGATGGAAAGCTGGCTTTCTACTAAACCAAAATATTTCAGTGAAATAATAAAAGTTGTTCTGTTGCTAAAATTGCTAAAATCCTTCTATTTTTCACTGTTATTTTTATTTCAGCTTCCTCAAACAAGAGACATTACTTTATATTATAGTAATTGCTTTTCACCAAATATTTAAAGAAAATTACCTGTGAAAAGTTTCTCTTCCATGTTAAATGCCTAATTTCCATCAAATCATTTTATAGTTCACAGTTTGCTTGTTTAAAATAACTTCATTGGATACTATATATCTTCCCAAGCCTCTACAATATTTTGGATTGAAAACTGGTATGACTTGTTGTAGATTAGAAAGCATCATCTCCTTGTTCTGGATATAATGGTTTGATTAATATGCTTTCGTAGTCACCTCTCTGCTGTTTTGACACACATACTAAACTGTTGATACATACTGCAATATATTAATTCCTCTCACATGTAATATTGTTGATATTTTATATTAAGTATTTGCCTTACCTTGCATATTATTATATCGGATCTTTATAGATTTATATTTACTGTTCAAAAAATAACATATTTTGAAAATTCATTTACACAATACATCATCTCATACCCTCCTGGAAGATTAAATCTTTATAATTAATCATCATGTTACAAATATTTTTATAACTTTAATAGCTTTAGTGAGTTAGAATTTATATCCTTTAAGCTTGTTTAACT